TAGAGGAGAGGACGCGGCATCCCTTAACTGGCTGGTAGGCCGGGTGGGGGGCATGGTGCCGTGGGAGGGCACCAAGCTCAGAGTGGTGGGCTTGGATGAGCTCTAGAGGCGGCACAGGGCGGTAGTCTGGGTTCCGGGTCCTCCGAGGCCTGCGGCTGCCGTCCTGGCGCTGTTGGAGAGGCAGAAACCAGGCATCGGCGCTCTGAACTGGCGCGTCTTTGCCGAAAACGTGGGTGCTTCCCCGGAGGGGAGGAACTATGTTTTTGGCATCTTGGAGTCCAGCGTCCTCAAGCTGAGGGGGCGGGACTCCAAGCTATGCTATGGGATCGAGCAGATCACCGTTAAGGTGACTCGATCTCATGGTGAGGGGGGGAGCAAGGAGGAGCCCCGATCTAAAGACTAGCTTGTATAGTCGGGCTGGTCGGTGATAGGGGTTACCCAGATTAACATGCATCACAGCAAAGGAGCCTCGGCGGTTCTAGCCAGGCGCCAGTCTGTGATGCACAGTCATTTCCTTGATACAAGAACCATGGGTTGTCCGTGGATGTGTCAGGGGGGTGGCAGCATGTGGGAAGCTTTTTAAAGCTCCCACCGAACAGAGGCCTAGGGCGTGCATAACGGTTAAGGGGCTAGATGCACGGCTCCTGCCTGAAGTATGTTTCAGGGACCTGACGGCAGTGGAGGTGACAGCGGTTAGCAGCGCTGGGGATGCCAGCAAGTTCGTCATCTGCTCGGCCTACTTCCCGCACGGAGAAGAAGTGCCGTCGCTGGAGATAGTCAGATTGGTGGATCTCTGCCAGAGGGAGGGATTGCCATTACTGATAGGATGCGACGCCAACGCGCATCACACCATATGGGGAAGCACTGGAACGAACGAAAGGGGAAGGAGGTTGCTGGAGTACCTGGTAACTACTGACCTGGAAGTTCTGAACAGAGGTAATAAACCCACCTTTTGCACGGCGGGGAGAAGTGAGGTGTTAGATCTCACTCTCTGCTCGCGTGGATTCGTGTGAAAGGTGAGGGAATGGAAGGTGTCGAATGAGCCCTCGCTCTCCGACCACAGGCAAATAACCTTTAGACTTTTAGATCTCAAAGTGGAGGTAAAGAAGGTGAGGAATCCAAAGAGGACGGACTGGATATCCTATCAGAGGGACCTGGGAATCAACCTCAGGGACTTTCCCAAGAAGTACGGCACTGCGGAGGAGTTAGAGCTCTGTGTGGATTATCTGCAGAGGGCTCTGATTGGATCTTACGAAGCGAACTGCCCGGCCAGCACGGTGACAAACAACAGGGAAACTCCCTGGTGGAACCCACGACTGCAGGATCTTAGGGTCAAGGCTCGAAGGGCTTGGAACAAGGCGAGGAACACGGGCCGATCCTCTGACTGGGATCTTTACAAGAGATCCCAGAAGGAGTACAGAGACTCTGTGGTGGAGGCCATGATAAAAATACAAGGGTATGCTCATCAATTGTCTAAAACTCGTTCAGCTTGCGCATGTCCTTGCCTACGTCATATTCGGGTACGCGTTGATTGGTCGGTTCTGATTCGGGTGCAATCGGTGGTTATCGGTCGTAATTTATCATGGTGTCCATGGCGTAGTGCACGTTGTCATCGGTAGAAGTTAATGTTAAAAATATTTTCACGATGACCTGCATAGTGAAAGGATGCGGCAATTATATGAAAAAAACAAAAAAAACTGAGGGAAGTAAAATTAAATATTTTACCTTTCCAAAACAATCTGAAATTGCTGAACAGTGGCGTAAGCCACTCGTTGTGACATAAGCAAGGACAAAAATCTGATTGGTCATGCGCATGAGCATACCCTTGTCTTTTTATCATGGTGGAGGCGAAGAGGAAGAGCTGGAGGAACTTCTGCGAGTCGGTGGAGGGCAAGCCAGCCACCACCAGGCTTTGCAGATTTCTATCCAAGAACCCGGAGGCAGCGTTGGAAGCGGTCCGAATGTCGGACGGCACCATGGTATCTGGAGAGAAATGCCTGGTGCATCTTCTGGAGACTAGTTTTCCTGGTTTCCGGAGGGATGCGGATAGGTGCGGAGAGGCTGACATGGGCCCCTTCAGGGCACGTGCCAGCGATTGGAAACTAGCGGCCGAAATTGTGAGGCCAACTAGGGTCAGATGGGTGATTGGCTCTTTCCGACCTTTTACGTCGGCGGGGCCCAATCAGATGTTCCTGGCTCTCCTTCAGAGAGGGCTGGAGCAGGTTATCGGGCCCCTTACGAAGGTGCTGAGAGCATGTCTGGCCCTCGGGTATACCCCCTAAGCGTGGAGGGAGGCGAGAGTCGTCTTCATCCCCAAGGTGGGGCGAGCGGAGTATGTCACTGCGAAGGACTTCAGACCGACCAGCTTGACCTCGTTCCTTCTTAAGACATTGGAAAAGCTGGTCGATGTTTACATCAGGGATTGTGTGCTGGCTCGGTATCCG